GTAGCAAACTCTTAATGAATTTTTGCTGAATCAACTTTGTTTTAAAGACACATTGCAATGCAATAGTATGCTGACTTAGATAAAAATTTAAAAAAATATGGATTATATAGGATGAGAAATAAAATGTGCTTTGAGTTTACAATCTCAGCATGGGAGCCTGGCCTGATTCATAGTTTTGTGCTAATCCAAGAAAGTGCTTCCATTCCTATTGACAGAGAAAACAAATTGGAATTTGGTAACTTTTTTCATTTTGTTTTATTTGACTTGAGGATTTTAAAAATATGTTTGTTCATGATTAGAAACAAATTTGATGACAGTACTAGAATAGACACTATCATAAGTGTGGAATTCTAGGTGGCACAGTGGATAGGGTCCTGGGCCTGAGATCAGAAAGACCTGATTTCAAATCTGGCCTCAGTTACTTATTAACTCTGTGGTCATAGACAAGTCATTGTTTGCCTCAGTTTTCTCATGGGTAAGGTGGAGATAATAATAGTACCTACTTACCAGGGTTTGTTATAAGGATCAAATGAAATAAAAATTATTAGGTACTTAGCACAGTGTCTGTCACATAGTAGGTGTTATATAAATGTTAGCTATTACTATTGTTGCTTATTATTTAGTAACTTTACCAGTTAACTGTAGGTAATTAAATTGTCCACGTTTAATCATTTATTTGGCTATTGGTTTACAACGTGTGTCCAGAGCCCTTATACTTTTTTATGTATGTTCATTCCCAAATTGAAAAACGGTGGTGAAATGACAAATATGGTGGATCTGGTATACAACAATGTAGATTAGTGATCGTTTGGTGTTGAACCCAGAAACACCTAATGGCCATGTTATCTTCAGTCCACCCAAACCCATGCCCCAGTTATGTGTAGTGCTTTAATTTGACAATGAGAAGGAAGAATTTTTTGAAAGCCAGACTCCTTGTATGACCTTTAATATAGTCATTTTAAAAATATTTATTTAGAGGCATCTTTATTCAGGATAATGTATTTTATTCAGTAAAATGAGAAGACATTTTCACCTAATCCACAGTTGATTTTATTTGCAATAAGTCATTCAGGGTTTCTGTCCATCCTAATCTTTTATCCTGTGAGCCCTTCCCACTGAATCCCTAGGCATGTCCTTCAGTTTAGCCATTGACTATGCCCACCCCTCCATCCTACACTATTGAAAGTGGTCATAGCAGATAGAGTGCTAGTCTTCATGGTATAGTTGTTTTCTACTGGCACAGAACTTCATAGGAACAACCACACTTGGAGGAGAACCCATTTCCAGCCATGTATCTGAAGTGGTACATCTATTCAAATGGTATTTTAAATATTAGAATTATGCAATCTACAAACACAAAAAAGAACTACTTCAAATGTTGGCATTTTAGGAGAATACCCCCATTTCTGCTTATAATTTACTGTCAAATAAATATGCTAAAGGTGCCCAAGCACTAAGCTTTGGGGTTTGGGTACTGAAAGATATTAGCATGACAGTCAGTGAAATCAGAAATGTTTTTTTTTTCTTCTCCCAGGTTGCTAGTCGAGAACTGAAAATACCCTCCTCATACATACACCTTTCTGAAACAAGTACTACCACCGTGCCCAATGCCACCTATACGGCTGGATCTATGGGAACAGATATCAATGGAAGAGCAGTGCAGGTTAGATTTCTTTCTATCTTGAGTTCCTCTTCTCTGTCATAACTGTCCTCTTACATGGGGAAACAGGAATAGTATAAAGTCTCTCTTTGAATATTACTTATTTTAGAGAGTATCAATATTAGCCCACAATGACCATGTCCTCAAAGTAACCAACACTTAAATGAAAACAGAAAAAAATATAGTGAGTGACCAAGATAGGTCCAAATATCTTATATCATTTAGATTAAAAATAAAGATTATTGACTTTATTTTCATCTATATATTTGGGTTTCTACAAATATGTCTTTTTTTTCCCCTTTCAGTTCTTTATTCAGTGATTATTGGATTAGGTCTTTTAGGTGCTATTTACCAAAGTATATTTTAAGAAATGACCACCAATGCATTATTATAAAGTGAAATTACATTAAAGTGATAACATCACAAAAAGACCAACTCATTTTCAGCCCCTTTGGCTTAATATAGGTATATTCCAAAAATCTTAGTATAGTTTTAAACCATTCTTAGTGCAGTTTTAAGTTTTAACAGATAAAAACTTCACTAAGACTTTCAGGATACCTTGAATATTCATTGATCCATCTTTGGATGCCCTAGAATTTGACTTTTACCTTGATTGTTTTGCATCTCTAAATGATTGAATGTCTTTTAAAGAAAAACTAGAGATATTTATCTATGAATTACTAAATGCTACAGCATAAATTTTCTTAAGTAAACAAATTAAATATGATAATTTAGTGTAATGCATGAGAAATGTAACACTATTAAATTATATAAATATCAATAATCGTTCAGTTTGAAATCACTATCTTAAAAGTGTTAACTATGATGGAATAACTGTATTAAAATGTTTCACATTGTCACAAAATTGTGGTGAATTAAACGTAGCAACTTGTACTTGTCTTGGGAGGTGGTGTTGACTTTTCTGTTGCTGAAGATGTCCCATGATTATATGAAATGCAATGCAGTGAAGTAAAACAAAATATGACTTTATATTACATGTCGTGTTATGTTTTCTTCTAATATATTGAGATAGTCTGAAACTTTGCTCATATGGCTTTTTCAAATGGACCATTTTTATACTGTTTCCTTTTTTTGAGCCAGAGAAGAATTCTTTTTAAATGGAAAATAGAGTGAGATGGTCAGGGAGGGTGGAAAAATGATGAGAGCAAGAGTCACTTGGGTTCTTTTCCTGGTCATACCACTAACCAACTCTGTAACTATAGCTAGGGTCCTCTCCTCTGCATTCCAGCTTACTTTCTGAAATGAGCAGATTAGCCTAGAATTCAGGCTTTTTGTTCTGTGAAGTTTGTATTCAGTCAAAAAGCCACACGTGAAGATCTAGGGGGACACATGAGGCCTTGAGGCCACAGGTTCCCCACCCCTGGACTAGATGATATCTAAGGTCCTCCTTTTAGGACCAAGGTCCCCTTTCTGTTAGAAAATGTAGCCAAGAAGGGCGGAGCCAAGATGGTGGAGGGAAAGCAGTGACTTGCTTGAGTTCTCCCTCAAACCCCTCCAAATACCTATAAAAAAATGGCTCTAAACAAGTTCTAAAGCAGAAGAACCCACAAAAAAAAACAGAGTAAAACAAATTTCCAGCCCAAGACAACCTGGATGGCTGATCTGAAAGGTATATCGTGCCGGCTGGGAGAGGAGCACAGTGAGGCGTGGGCGCGCATGCCACAGTGACCTAGGAGCTGGCCTCAGAGGACTGACTCGCGGGCAGCTGTGTCGGTTTCCAGACTTCTCAACCCAGGAACACCAAAGACAACTTAGAAGGTCTGTGGGAAAAGTCTGTGACTGCTGTGAGAGAGGAGCTAGGTCTCAGCCGCCCCGAAGGCAGCAGCTGCCTCCTGAGCTTACTGCCCAGGGACTGAGGGGGAATCAAGTAGCTGATCAGAGGGGGATTGCAAGGATCTCTTTGCCAGTGCTGAGGCAGGAATCTCTTGCTTTGCCTGTGCCTGGATCTGGGTCACAGTTCTGAGGGGCAGTCCAGGGGTGAGGAGGAATGCTGGT